CCGCGCGCGCAGTTTAAAATAGCCGATTTTTCCGACCTTCGCTCCTTTCCGCTCTTATAACTCGCGACCAAAACATTTCCCCAGCATGCGGTAAAGAGCCAGAGGGGCTACAGAGAGTCAGGGACAACATATCAGTTTTTCATCAAAATAAAAAAATGGCTTTTTTTTAAATCGGCCCTAACGTGAAAAAATAAGGGGTCTTTTTTGAGCGTTCCGGCGCTTCGGAGGCGATAACTCGAGCTGAAGTTGACAAAACCCTATGATGTTATACATTTTCTGAAAGCTCTCGTCACGCTGAATACGCTCGTTTAAACCGCGTTTTCCAAAACTTCTCGGTTTTCGAGTAAAAAATTCGCGAAAATTTTGCCGGTTTTTAACTTTGACCCCCCGCCGCGTCTCCCCAAAATGTTTGGGGGGCTTGAAACTTTGGGGAAAGATGGGGCATTGTTAGGTGAATGAATAGGGAAAGTCTCAAAGGTATCCGCCCCGAGCCCCAAATGGCCCATTTTGCACGTAGTCCTTTTTCAACTTAGGTGTATACAGTAATAAATAGAATTAGTTACATGATTTTGCAAATTTTGCATATTTATTACCTATCTACTTTGTTATGTAATATTCTGCAATATCAAAAATAAAATTTAGAAAAATTATTGTGGGTCCCCCCCCCCTCGGAAGAAAGAACACTTTCGGTATAAGTATTACTGACAGGCCGCAGGCCAAAGTCAGTAATATGCACTAATTTGCTTGAATAAGAAAAAGAAAAATTAAAAAAGAAAAACTAAAAGAAAAATCAACAAAATTATCGATATTAAGAAACGACCTGACAATACTTGACGTGCTTATGACAACGGACTTCTGCATTGAATGAAGCAGGTAACTTTCTATTCCAAGGTTTTGAAGATGCTTAACTAAACTTCTTGGAACTATCCCCGTTACTGACATGGGGCTTGATGCGAAAAATGTTCAAGTTCCATAATCGCTTCATTTCCGTAGCTAAGGGCAGATACTTTGCCATCTTTTCTTGATACTTCAGCCCCAAGTTATGATCATTAGGGATGCTAATATCGATGATGGACTGTTCCATCCAGGACTGTTCTTTATGAATTATTGTTATCATAATTAATTTTTTTTTCCTTCATTGATTTATTTTGAATTGGATCCTCATAATATATCTATGGCCCTGAAAAATTTCTTCACTGAATATTTCTAAGTGAGTGTAGAAATTTTATTAGATAAACACTTAGAGAAGATGTAGATGACACTGTCCGCGCACAGGCTAGACTGCTGGTTTATAATTCAAATAAAACTACTTGTAAAAGATGAATACAAGACTACAGCACAATATGAGCAGTTAATAAATTAGAAATGAATTAAATGTAAATGACGAAAAAAGTAAATTGCGTTGAATAACACTCCTGACTGATTTTGTGAAATTATGTGTTCTTTTTACAGAAATGTACATTATTCTTTAAAAAAACTTAAATACTTTGAGTTGTCTACATGATGACTTTCAGCTTGACTGTACAGGGTGTATCAACTAAGTGGCGACAAACTTTAAGGGGTTGTTCTTAAAACAAACAGAAAAGTCCTTTCCAATATCCTCTAAGATGCGTGGTTCTCGAGTTACTCACAGGGAGCTCAATTTTTGAAAAAAAAAAAATACCGCACAAGTTCTGTCATGTCGCCACAGTGGCTATCCTACTTGTCCGAACCCAAAAACAATTGCGGTTTCGTAAAGTACTCGTCAAGTCTTTAAAAGACGGTTCTTTCTTTTTTTCGTAAAACCCTTCCTAATGGAGTTATCCACCGCTAAAAAAAATACCGTTCTACACAGCTCTGAGAAAGCAGTTGAAGACGCCCAAGGACAACTAGAGCGGCGGCTTCGTCGCTGCTGACGTCACGGGCGCTTTATAATTCCCACTCACTCGCACGGCCCTCGACTAAGAAGCACACCTCTTTTTTTCCACCTGTCTCTGGTCCCGTTAGGTAGAAATACGTCCAATTGTAGGTGTGTTCAAACGAATTCTTGCCGGAACACTTTCGATATCGTCTCTTATTGAAACTGACGCAGTACCGACAGTGGCGATGATATCGACAACAGCCGGCCTTATCGGATTTTTGAGAGCTCGCATTCAATGCATTGTTGCCCCGTGTGTCGGTTTATCAGATTGCCTGGCGCGGCGGCGCGTAAAATAGATGTACAAATGGCAACAGCTCATTTTCGTCAGCTCCGAAAACTCTGATCGCTATCGGCATGAGCGCTCTTATCGTAACTTTTTCTTAACGGAACTGTTTCGGTAGCTTACCGACAACCGATAGAACAGCCCTATCCAATTGCGGTTTCAGCACATCTAGGGGCATGGGGAACTAATTATCATACCTTAAAGTAGTATATAATGTGAATTATAGCGCAAAAAATTAGGTCTCTGGTCGATTTCTGTTGTGCTCAATTAGTACAATGGATTTGGAAAAAAACCTATGATTTAAATACTCAAGTACTTATTATCACGAAACCGGAGGGCGTAACCTATAATCATTTATAAAAAAAAATAAGGAAATAAATTAAAAATCCTTTGGTCGGCTTCAAAATGGGCCTGTTGCAAACTTTTGCTAGAGCAAAACTAAGAGTTGTTTCTTATAGATAATGCCTCAAAAATCACAATGAGCGCATCGACAAAGTCTAAAATGCACTCATAACTTCACAATCTGCGTAAGAAATTTGCGGTTTTTTGAGCTTCTCGCTTCAAAAACGATACTACGGCACAGGTAAATATTTTGTCAGTGGAGTCGTTCCATCGTCGGCAATATTCATCATGGCCGACGCTTCCGTAGTTCCGCGCGTAATTCAAGGAGAGTTCAAGGTCAATCAAGGCGGGCGAGGAAAATATGAACGTTAGGCCTTGTTTCGACGGCGCAACTGTTGAGGGAAATTGGCGCAACTGTTGAAGGAAGGAAGTGTCTCAAAAATGTTTCACTTATAAGTGAAACTTTCAAGGTCAGAAACCTGGAACCTCAACAGTTGTTTACCTTCGTGTTTTGAATTGATAAACGCTGGTTGCACGTGAAGCGGGAGTTTATTATGGGCGTTTTATTTCATTCGGAACGATTATTATTTAGAAATATTTGTACACATTTCAGTTTCAATTTTATATTTTCGTTTGTAGCATATCACTACAGCAGGAAAATAAAATTTTATCGAATATATTTTCTTTTTATTCATATCTGAGTTATGTCATTGTTTTTTGTTTTATACCTGGTCGACATAACGCAAAATATTCACTTCCCGTTCATAATTGTCAGTTCAGTTATCTCAATTGACATCGTTTAACCTAGAAAAATTAATATTGTTCAAATATTCCCAACGAACTACACCTCTAGAATGGCCGCGAGATAGCAAACCTGCGTAACGCGCATGGGCCGGTTTTTGAAGGCAGGAGGGGGGTGGGAGCCCAAGTATAGCTAACCTCAATCTCCATTTCTGCTGCGTCTTGCCCATAAGGATTACATGTGAAAATTTCAACCTTCGTAAACTTTCATTTTTTTGAGGTTTTCTTTCAGAGTTCCTATTTTTTGAGTAAAGAAAACCTTTTGAGGTGCGATTGTTCAGCAATCTTTTCATTGCTATCACTTTATTCAACAATATTCGGCAAAATGTGGGCAGCGTCTGACATGGGTTTAGATGGCAGCCTGCTGTGTGAGCCCAAGTAAACCTAACCTATATCAACTTCAAAACGTTCCGGGTCTCTAACACTGGTCAGCCATTCTAGAGGTGTAGTTCGTTGAATATTCCCGCCTAAAAGTTCCAGGAACACATGCGTGCGCGTCGAGACAGGGAATTTCGGTTGGTGCAACAAACTCGCTGCAGTTGCACCTAATTCCCTCAACAGTTGCGCCGTCGAGACAAGGCCTAAACACGCCGATTGTTATCCAGTCTAATCCTGTTCAGGTGTTATCTCGTCCCATCGCACGTGTTTTGGCGAATGGAGATGTTGCATGTGTGAGGAATTTGCGATTTGACCATTGATTCTTACATAAAAATTTGCGAGAAACACGATGGTGCCACTGGTTTTCTCTGAAATCGTCTCCCAAGCTCAAAAAAAGCTCTCAAAGTGAGGCCAAAATGGAGGGGATATCCTGCCCTACCCTGAGAGTCCACCCCTACATCAAAACAAACTCTCCATGCAAAGATAGGGAGCAAATACCTTGACAGGGCTGCCACACTATTTGGAGACCTCAAAACTGAAAACATGGCAACCCTGCTAATGTATTTGCTCCCTATCTTTGCATGGAGAGTTTGTTTTGATATAGATGTGGACTCTCAGGGTAGGGCGGGATATCCCCTCCATTTTGGCCTCACTTTGAGAGCTTTTTTTGAGCTTGGGAGATGATTTCAGAGAAAACCAGTGGCACCATCGTGTTTCTTGCGAACTTTTACTTATGAAACAGCAGTCAAATCGCAAATCCCTCACACATGCAACATCTCCATTGGCGTCGGCCATGATGAATATTGCCGACGATGGAACGACTCCTCTAACAAAAGGTTCACCTATGCCGTAGTATCGTTTTTGAAGCGGGAAGCTCAAAAACCGCAAATTTCTTAGGCAGATTGTGAAGTCATGAGTGCATTTCAGAGTTTGCCGATGCGCTCATCGTGATTTTTGAGGCATTATCTATAGGCGACAACTCTTATTTTTGCTCTAGCAAAAGTTTGCAACAGGCTCACTAGGAAAATACTTAATTTTTCTGTTCTATCGCGTTCTGGTTCTCGCGTTTAAGATTCTCATTTTTTGGCTCACCCGATAACGCTCCTCTACGGTCAATCCCTAATAAGAGTTCAAAGTACAGGGTGAAAAAGCAATAATTCAGACAATGAAAATATAAAAATTTGGTCGGAGAAAGATTGAAAGTCATTAGTGTTCTTTATTCCTAGTTTTTTTTTTAGTAGTTTCTTTGCCAATATCGCCACAAGCTTGTTAGTTTATTCTCTTTTTTTAACATAGGTTATGATGGTTCCCTCTACATCTTACCCATTACATGGTTGGTAGATTTTGAAATTATTGGCTCAGTACCAACTATCGAGTGGATGGCAAATGATGTGACTTACTTTCCTTCACCAACTAAAGACTTCATCCCCACATCAATCTCATGGTGGGAGACAAAAATTTCCGCTCCAGGGTAAGCCGTTTTATTTTATTTCTCGTAGATACATGGTGGAAGCTTATGCATCGTCTGTAACAAGGCGATGCCAGACTATCAGAATGGGAGCTCAAAGTTGATGCAGTGGGAATCAATTTAAGGTATGTGTCCACTTAACGAAAAATTAAAGCCGGAACATACAGGGTGTACCAAAAGTTCGTCCCACCCCTGCTAACTTTTGAACGAATTGAGCTAGGGTAATGAAACTTTGGGAATGTTCCTATCTCAAAGGGGACCATCTTTTTTATGGGGGGGGGGGATCAAAATTTTGGTCCCCCCTGAGATGACTTGCCAAGGTAATGTTGAACTGATTTTGACCTTACTGAGATAATGTGGAGGCAAATGTAGGGGAAATTGGCTTATTTCGCGGGAAAATTGAATGACCTTTGAATTGACGTATTTGGGGGTCCGAGCCCCCCCCTCAAAATTAAATCGAAGTGATTTCTGCAATTTTTACTTAAAAGCGGACACAATTTGGTAAATTTTTCCGTTCTCTTTTTTTCTTTACGATAATTTGAACCGGACCTATGATTTTTTGAAAATAGGTCAAATTTGACCTTTGACCTATCATAACTCGGTCAAAAATTAAGATTTTGATCTGCGGTTTGCGCCAAAATTCTTAGTTTTTTATGCTCTTTCGAATGAGATATCACAAGATAGAGGTTGCCGTTTGAAAAAAAAGTTGGGGGCCCCCCGCGCCCCCCTGGAGGGGACCAAAATTTTGACCCCCCCCCCCAAAAAAAAAGATGGTCCCCTTTGAGATAGGAACATTCCCAAAGTTTCATTACCCTAGCTCAATTCGTTCAAAAGTTAGCAGGGGTGGGACGGACTTTTGGTACACCCTGTACATAGGTAGTAGGCTCTGAAAAAGATAATTAAATTTCAGGGGTCGATGAAGATCCAGAAGGTGATAAACCACCTTCTAAGAAAAGTGGAGATTCTTTTTTTTTTAAACAACGTGACCTGAAAGCAGAAGCCTTTATTTTACCAGATTTAGTGTACCATATTTATTAAATGATTAAGATTCACAATGTAATGATTTATACTTCATTTATTACGATTTACTGATACTAAAAATGACATTTGCAACACAGACCCTATGACACAAAATTAATCTTGGAATTCGGCTAGGGGTGCAACGCTAGAACTTCGATGGTCTGGCAGAAAATTTAAAACGAAGCACAGGGAGCTAGACTGGCAATAATCGGAAAATAACGGCGTGATCCGCCTCAAAAATCTTGGATGCCCAAGTCTCATAAGTCTCTTGCGGTGGGGTAGGGGCGTGGAAAGCCAGGACATCCTGGAATACTAGAGCTTAGAAATGGTAGAACTTTTTGGAAACCTTCCAAAAATACCCCCAAAGAATTCGATTCCATTGAATCGTTTCTGGGATGAAATTCTGTACGATTTTGTCAAATTGGCAGGGAACAAAATAATGAGTTAGTGGAAATATGATGACTTTTTTTTTGTTGGGCGGCTCTCAAAAATTTTTCAGGGTTTCCAGGTTTTCGCAACATCTAGAAGATTATTGATCCCTCCAAATTTTGATAGGTATTTGCATTCGTTGGGAGTTGCAACACTCAATAATTAATGTTTTATTTTTGAAGTCTACACCTAGAGGCTTTAATGATGAATTTAATGGCAACAGCCAACCAGCCTACCCACTTCTAGTGTCTGACTTATCATTCATCAAATATAAAATTAAGAAGCTTTAACTGAAAGTGGATCCAAAGTTTAAACTAAAGAAGAATAATGAACAATGTATCCTTAAGCAAATTATCATCCTTTATCATTTAATGTTAATCATTTTGTTGTAAAATCCTTTTCGACGTGACTAATCAAATCAAGGTGGGATCAATGGTATTTTAATCAAATCCAAAATGGACCACTAGATAAGCTACGAATTTCAGCATTCTGATACATGTTTCTTAACCAAAATTTTACGTAAAACACGATGCATACAACGAAAATTACCGAAATTAACTCCTTACGAAGATATTTAATGATTCTTAATGCGTGAATTCAAACCACCTGCTCATGAAAACACAATGCTCTACGTGATTCGCATTGCGCGCTAAACATTATCATGACAGTCTCTGCGATATAAAAATCTGGCAACCTTAATCTTGACGCTTTGGCTCAGTTATAGCAAATTGCTAATAGTTTGAACAACACATGATGGGAAATGAACATTGCTCGATTGAGAAGCTTGCTGAAACCGTTGTAGTGGGCGATTTGACTCACGTAGAGTTTTGAGTTTCTTGTGAGCGGGCAGTTCAAATTCCTCGTAACCAATGTGAAATAAAAACGTTAATATCTTCGTTAGGAGTTGGTTTCCGTAATTTTCGTTGTGTGAATCGTTTTCCACGTGAAATTCTGGTTAAGGAACATGTATCAGATCGCTTAAATTCGTACCTTGTCTAGTGGTCCATTGCCTGAAAACAAAGCTGACTTTAGACCAGATAATGATAGAGTTTCTGAAGAGAATTTGAAAGAAAATAACAAGTATAATTGAAAATAGGTTCGTTGCTTGCAAGAGACGCAGCTAAACGGACAAAATCTCTGTTGGTAAAATAACACGAAAATCACGTTGGGCACACTAAAAAAGTCTGGTATAGCTGTGGATTAGCGGCACATATAGCAAGAATTCAAATCATCATTTATTCTCATAGGAAAATCCCATTTCTTTATGTATGAGTTGTCTTCATGAGAGTGGAAATGAAAAATTTCATGGATGATATGAATTAATAGCATGATGTAATTTGTGTTCTAAAAATGTAACTGAATATTATTTCTCCTTATGAAATAATTGAGCTCAGTGTGAAGGAGTCAAACCTACCATTGTTATGACTGTACAATATTCATTTTCTCCCATCATCTTTGCGCATCAAGACTATTCCATTTAGAGTCACTGGCAACCAGCATTTGATCCGAGACTCCCATTGGCTGGCTGGAAGATTCTGTTCTATGAAATAAAGAAAAAAATACCCACTGTACTTTCGGATCACTATGTGTAGTTTGTCACAAGCTTTTTCAAATTTCCCGTGTCCATGGGCAGTTTCCTTTAGCTGCTATCACACTTAAGCAGTCCTGAACTCCTGACTGTACAGTCTAACACTGTGTAATTGCGCATAATGTGCTAAAATTTTGATCGATGCTCTTTTGGAGTCGTGGCAGCTGTTTTCCGAACCCTCGTTGTAGTGCTCAACCGCCACCCTGTGGAAGTATCGCTCCACCTCTGTTTTCGTGTCGTCACCGTTTGAGTGACACGGTGATGCGGTTTTTAATTGCAAAGGATGTAAAATCCATTGACATTCATCGTCAGTTAGAAGAGGTTTACGGAAATGAGGTTATGGACGTAAAATTGTGCGCAAACGGTGTCGAGAATTCACAACAGACCGCACCGAGATTCATGACGAAGAAAAAAGTGGCCGGCCGTCGACTTCTGACGAGACAATCACGCAGATTGAAGCAGCAATGCTTGAAGATCGAAGGGTGATGATCGAGGAGCTTGCTTATTTGGTTCCTGAAGTTTCTCCAGCCACTACTTACCGAATTTTGATGGAAAACTTCATTATCACGAAGTGTGCGCGAATGATGACGCAGGACCACAAACAGCGACGAATGCAGTCCTCGACCGAATTCCTGGGAAAATGCATCGTCCTGGATCATCCCCTCTATAGCCCAGATTTAGCCCCCAGTGACTTCCCCTTATTTCCAGCATTGAAGAAACCTTTTGGTGGACAACACTCGGAGGACGCTGACGACACGAAAAAAAAAGGGGCGCGATACTGCCGCCTCGTTTACGCCCTTTGCAATCAAGAACCGTATCACCGTGTCTTTCCGACGGCGCGGCGACGACACGAAAAGAGGTGGTGCGATACCTCCACGAGGTGGCGGTTGCGCACTACGACGATGGCTAGAATAACTGCTGCCACGACTCCTAAACAGCATCAATCGAAATGGTGATTATGTAGAAAAATAGCCCAGGATATTAACTTTTGAACCATGACATATTTTTTTTTTAAACGATTTGCTTTTATTTACTTGAAAAATATATGGAGACCTTACTTTTGAGGTACCCCTCGTAAATTAAAACATGGGACTTCTATTAAGAAAAAATTCCAACATTCGTCTATAAACTTTAATCAATAGGATGTCAAAGAGTAAACAAACTCTACTTGGATCGCATTTAGCAAAAAGGAACCAGCGTAATTACGGTGTTGTCAAAATGTTGCTTCCTCATAATGATCTAATAAATCTCCCAGAATAGCAATAGTCCAGTCAATTTAGCTCTAAATAAGGGTCATCTGGGAAAATCCGTATATAGAAGGTTTTTTTGCGGAAACATGTTGCATTAGGCAACCAGAACAACATATCAAAAGTTTACCAAAATCGGCCGTCCGCTAAGGCCGCCATCTTGAAAAAAGGGGGGGCGGGGGGCCAAAATACGCCGCCGGCGACCGGTTTTTAGCTTTCATCTTGAAAAATATCGATGCTACGGAAAAATGTCACTGAACCTTTTAAAAAGATCATAAAATTTCCTATTAGAAACACTATACATTTATCAAGTTGCGACTTCTGGTTCGTGAGATATGGCGGTAGTTTCCTGCGGCTAGGAAAGTCAAATCTTGCGAGAAATCACGTTTTTTCAACAAAATCTGTAATTATCTTAAAAACGGCGAGTCTGAGGCAAAAAAGTGTTCTCACCGGAATGAAAGAGCATGAAATTTCCATGCTAAAAATGCTTATGAATTCACTAGGGGGTCCGCCCCCGGAGCGCTATGCGGTCCGAACCAACGGCGGCTACTACGCGGTGAGGCTCGGCTTGGCCGCGCCATGCATTGTTGCGGTCCAAGATGAAACGGCTTCACTTTTTTGGTAGATTTACCGCGAGGGTAAGTCATATTATCCATTTAAATATGTGCTAATTTCCTTTCATCATGAACCCCCCCCCCCCCCCCCTTAGGTCATGCATG